AGAATGGAAAATGTAATCAACGTAAAAAAACGGCGAGTCTGAATTTTGGTTGAGTAAACTCGCCTTTAATTCCTTCTGAGAAACATGTTGAAATAAAACAGAGACTTGTGGTCCTGATCACCAAGCTTCCAACACTGAATTCAAAATAATGGCTCCCTGGCTGATGACAGAGATTAGAGCCACACCATACACGATATGAAGAAATGGGATTACGGTTCACAGAAATATACAGTAGACGATGAGCATCCAAATGGTTACAACCGTCGCTCCGCAACAAATCGATATCGGGTTAGACGGTGGCATAGTATTGGATCACGTTTTCGTTTGACACCGTTGTTTCCACAACTTTTATCATAGGCTATGGGTACGTTACTTAGTAAATGTGCACTGGTTGTTGAAGAACAATACCAAACGTAGAAAAGCCACGCTGAGGCAAGCCTGTCTGCGAAAAAGAATATGATCTATGTCGCTCCAGCCAGTTTTGCCCAATATCGATCAATCAATCTGAAGTACCATTTCTAATGATCAGGCTATGTTTCTGCGTTACTCTGCTGTGTAAGCTAAGAAAGCCTCAGATGACGATGATAAAATAACAATAACTACATGTCGCAATGAAACAGTTCAGAATCTGTCAGCGAAATTTTGGACGGATCCCTAGGACAAGGTACGGAACGCAGCTTCAAGAATTCGTAACCACAGAGCAGGTATAAGTTCTCCGCAAAACTTCACTTACTTTAGAACAGCTCAATAAATTCCATGCGACGAAACATTGAATTTCCTCGAGAAAGTGTACCTTCTGGCTCTCTGTCCCAAATCTGTTCCTTCGCTCATCGGTTGACAAATACTGACTTTTACAGTCAACTATTGTCGCCATTTTTCACCCAGCATCTAATTTGATTTATCCGTTAATACTAAAATGATGGGCAGCAGCACTTAGAAAGATCTATTTTCAAATCATTAATTCCTCAATTTGCTATCTGCTAAATTTTCAGCAACACATTAGCGACTTCCGGCCTTTGTCATCTATATTCTGTCGAAAACCGTCGAAGGTTTTATCCAATTACGCGAGGTAAATGTCTCACGCAAAAATCCCCATATGCACATGAAATAGTCCGAATATGCATACAGGAATGATGAATTTACATCAGTCGCCATCCCTAACGCGTAACTACATCTGGCAGAGTTCAGAAAATTAGATCCTAAAACACATCGGTGGCTCACTAACAGAAAATAGTATCTTCATAAATTCAATTTAAATACACGTGCCCCTAATGTGGCCCTTTCGTCGCTCAACCCTTGACCCGTTTGCTTTCGATTTCTGTTGTCCTCTTCCAATTTCTTACTTTTCTAGCACGCGCTGTCTGCAATCTTTCCGCAATTTGCTATCTCGAGTTTTACTGTAATATCACCTCGGAACAACTCTCGTGATAGCTTCTGTGCTGGAAGTCCCAAACACTGCAATAAAAAACAAAGTCTCTGACATGTCTAAAATCATTTTTTTGCTTTAATAGGCAAAAAAGAAAATGCTTCGACCACTACCGAAAAGTCTGTATTACTATAGCAACCATGAAGAATGGGAAGAACCCTAGTACAAACTGACCACATTTTATCGTATGTTAGCGGTAATGACTCTGCAAACCAGAATCAGTAGCATACTTTAGATGAATTTTTCAGGCGCTGATCGTCGGCTTTTCATCTAATAAAACACCATTTCCATTTTATTTCATGAAATTATCCGTGAACGGTCATCTTCCTGAATTTCATGTGGATCGTCTTAATGATACGCCATGGGCTATTGGCAGTGCAAACAATGGTAGACAAGGATCTACTAAGGTTTCTTTAAGATCTGATACCGATGGCAGTTCTCATGCTCTTTCAAAGTCCTGTCAGTAGATAGTGAATGAACAGATGCTATGTCAATATCATTCATCAATAAAAACACAAATAAAATCTATTTCACTTTGCATCCACAAACACTGACTGGCATGATTTTATATTTGTTAACCTGGAAATAGATAAATATTAGATACTTTATTTCTGCCCACCATATATGGGATAAAACAAATCAGTTCTAAACAATAAAACCTGTTACTACGCGACGAAACTAAACTTTTTAAAGGTTTCGAAAGCGGCATTTCAGTTATTCATACATGCATCAATTTTTTGTTGTCATATATGTCTCAGCTATGACATTCCTCTATCTCGTTATTAAAAATTGGACGCTCATGACCAGATCGTTCCAAGAAATCACTAGCCTCGCACTGCACAGAGGTAATATATCAGTCAATGAATAACCTCTCCTGAAGAAATAAACTCTAAACGTGCCCAATTTCATAAAAGATAATTTCACTGTAAATCATGAACAATCTGCATCAAATTCAAATGCAGTGTAGCATTTGCAAGCACTGATTCGAAGACGAATTGCGTGGTATACGTCACATCATGAATTCTTTTGGACACCAATGCAATTTATAGCTTGTATAAACAATTGGTGTAATTCTGATGTCAAAGATTTATTTTCAATCAGTTGTAATTTGCTATCTGTGACTTGTCATTGATACAATGCTTCCCACGAGTAAATATCAAGCAAATAACGGCACACATACATCAGTCATAAGTTTTTCCATATTCACATGTTCTGCTATTACTGTTCTCTTTGTAGGCCCTTGAAATCAGTCTGACTATACAAGAATATATCTTCTGAAATTCATCACCAATGTATGAGATAAAATAGTTCAAAATAGGTTTTCTAAATATGACATAACATTTTCGACCCTCTTGATATGGCGGATAGTTGTTGATTTAACCCAGCTAACTAACAGTAACCGCTATTCATCCATTCTTCTAAAGTTTCTTTAACTTCTTTGTACATTTGAATATTCGTTTTTAAAGCTAATGGCGTTGTGTAAATATTCTATAATCTATTATCCGACTGTGTATTAAATTGCTGTTTAGAAAAATATCCCTAATGATGGCTTCTGTAACAGAAGATGAAATAACAGGCAAAAGAAAATCGTATATGACGCCCGCAACCATTTGGATTGAAAAGGTTCAAGTTGATCGTTCCTGCACTAAGTCGCAAAAACGAAAAACTAACCGTGCAACAAACTGTTCAAAATAAAAGTTTTGCGATTCTGTTTTACCCAAGTGAAATGATCAGTACGCGTTTGGAAAGTCTGCTTCAAGTAACGCGAAAACACCTCCAACAAGATGCTCAAAGTTCGCTCTTCGACAGGAAACAGTTGCCAGTCGGTCTGGAAGACAGGAACAAGCGCAGAGAAGATGTGCTGTCTGTCGCAAATGAGCTTGGCGAATACCTGGAAAGAAGATGAATCAACGCTAACACAAGGACAGTTGAACTAACCAGACAAAAAGATTCAAGATCTTGTTCTTTTTTATGCATAATAAGGGATATGAAGTTGAAATACGCGTGAAGAAGTGAGATGTCAGTTTCGACCAAGAAGCACTATGAAGAAAGGCATCAGTTGATAACGACATATTATAATCATGAATTTACCTGAAGCAAAGCTTCCGTAGTGGCCTTGCTGATTTTGTGGAAGGAAGGCAACCTTGGAAGGTCACGCAGCAGCCACCCGTAACGAGCAAGCAACGAAGAATTAACGAATGGCGAAGTAGCTTCATTTTCTGTTGGAGAATGAGACAAGGAAACGATCATGCTCAAAGCCTAAATGCAGCACATCGCTGAATTTTCTGCGGTTATGAATTTTATCATACTTCAATGACAGCAGCTCGGTCACTGCTCGCTGCTGAGTGCAAACGATTTAGGAAATATAGCAGCACCTTCGCGGATTCAGAAGTGTCAGCCTGTTCGCCAATGACAATGAGGCGCAATTTCGATGCCAGATTTTGAATACGCTTAAAGCCGGAAGTCTACAATTACAATTCAGCTTATTCGCTTGTTGCATATAACTGAACAGTTGGCCACTGCTGCCAATTTGATATCAATGAGAAATTTATGAGCTGGGTGAGAGATATTTGTTACCAAGATAGTGAACAGTAGCATCAGAAAATGGGTGCAAGATTTTGGTACAGATTACGACAGACATAACTGAACCTTGGTGCGCTGTACGAATCGTTCACCTGTTGTTCCTCAGATGGTATGCAAGTAAAATAAGCGCATCGTTGAATATTCTGACGGTGAACGTCGATCTGATTGAATAGAAATTCACACAGACATTCGACAGGAAACAAAGCAACGGAGCCCTCGTTTTGTTCGATGATCGCCGAAAGCCACGGCACCGTCTGGCTCGCGCCCTAAATAAAAGTATTAATTTCGTCTATCACATAAAATTCTATGTGCACCTGGCGATTGATGATAGCGAGAAGGAAATCAGGATTTCTCGACGAACAAAGTCTGAGTCTCAGGTTCATCTGTTGACTGCATAACTTTAGTTGCTCAATAATCAGAGGCGGTGGCTTTCGAGGGTATCCACTAAAATTCTCGATGACATTTGAAAATAAAAAAAAGATATTTACGTGGGGTTGAACTGGGTCAACTGTGTGATTAGCAAACTGTTGCTTTCGTGAATCACTTGTTTCGTTGATGCAGCTGCTAAAAAGCCTTCTAGTTCCAAAATGTCCAATCGCTCTTGTTCATAAATCTTCAAAATCAGAGAAATTGACAATATTTGACAACAGCAATAATTCTAAGATAAGCATACTACTATCAGGATAGCTATCACTGTTTGGCGGAATGAGAAAACTAGACAGGAAACTCTAAAACTGCCCCATTTTGGTTTATCCATTAATACAAAATTTAAAAGTCAATGATAGAAAGAACCTAGATGGTGAAGCTTCGCCTACTGACAGCGAAAAATCAGAAAAGTATATTATTTCGATTTATAAAGAAGGAGGCACATTTAATATCAACATGGAAGTAATGTCACTAAACAGCAATTGCTTTCTTCCTTCAATTCAATTTTGTTAAAAAAATATCCTACAATAAACATTAAAGGTGGAAAGTGACAGCGACTAAAACTGCAAAAATATAATATACAGATATTCGTTAAAGACAACAGATCTTAATTAATCAGCCTAATAACCATAAGGCGTTAAACAATCGAACCACCGCATCTCAACAGCAAAGAATTGGTTAAACTAAGGCAGTGACGAAGGCCTGTCATGAATCATGAATTACTGACCTAACGAGCGAACTGTAGCCATTGTTTTCTGAATTCCTGCATAAATTAAACTCATTTCTGTGTAACAAAAAGGCATCTTAACAATGAATCCTGGCAAAATGATTCCTGTTCTCATCTAGACTAATCCACAAAGAAACTAAAAACGAATTGCCTTTAACATCGCTTCAATCAGCAGGCGGCTAACATATGAGATCTGATTGTCAAGACTTCCTTCTTCATTACTGAGTGCTACTCGCTGACTGTTCATTTTATTGAATCCTGTTCAACCTCTTCACCCAAGTGAATCATTCCTGTTGAACGGTTAAAAGTGCTATCTTGTTGTCTTATGGTAACATATCATACCATATAATTCAGAAAAGATCAATTGAATTTTTTATGCGGCTGGAACGTTCTTCATCGTCAAGATCTTCAAATGGCTTACTCTGCATAAACCGTTTATCAAACGAAATCCTGAATTGCCGGTTCCCAGTCTGGAAGAGAAAGGAGAAGGGTTGGGAACCCTAGCGAGGTCTTCGTAAAACTTAGCCACGTGTCCGCCACGGCATTGCCGTCGTCGAACATTAAATTGACTCGGTCGTCGTTCGGGATATCCAGGGCCCTGTGGGGGGATCAGGAACAGTGCGAAATGTCGGTGACAAGAAACTGCATCATTTTCTGGCAGATGAGGGCCTAGTAGCACGAAAAACGACTGCTGGAAATCACCAAAACGACGAAGATACCACCAATCAGAAAGGAAACCGCTACTCTTTCTGAAACAGAGGAGGCGGACAGCGCGATGCAATCAGGGCAGGTCAGATAAGGCTCCGCGAGAACGATACCGACCGTGGACGCTTACAGTCGGAAACTGGAACATATCGTCATTCAAAGGGAAAGAACAGGAGCTAGTTCATGACGCCGTAAGGTACAAACTCTACATAGGGACACTCGTCAACGAAGACTCAAGGATCTGGAATTCCTCTGCGGATGGAATCCATTCTATTGATGTAGACAGGCGTCGACATGACCTGGTGAGCTCAACCCGGTATTGGTTTTTTGGTAGAACCCAATATGGTTGGCAGAAATATTGAACGGAAGCCTGTCAGTAGAAAAGAAAGAGGCAATAATGGGTTAAAGTGGTTGGAACTTGTTAAAAATCTGTGCGCCCAATTTGGAGGGATATGGGTCCTTCCTTGAGGAAGTGGAACCTGTTCTGTACGAAGTGCCGACTATGGAGACGCTCATTCTAATGGGTAACTTTAATGCGCATGTCGTAGTAGACGCTGGAAAGTAAAAAGGTTTGAATGGAGTGAACGGACCTAGAAGCCTCAACAATAATGGCAAGAAATTCTTGCAGTTTTTTGCAAAGAACGGATTATCCATATGGCGACCTTCTTCGAGCATCGAGGGCAGCATCAGTATACCTT